CTAACATTAGGACCACGTTTYTGTGCTAAAAAGTTATAAGAACTTGATTTTTATTATATACACATATAAATTTATATTTTTTTTTTGACGCGTAATAATTACTGTGATATATTATGAGATTTTTTTTTACTATACGTATATTATTTTATTAATTATTATTATTGTCATCGTTATGAGATGAGTACATTTTAATTCTTTATTTTTTTAAATAAATATCGGCATATTATTCCTTTTTTTGACGCGTAATTACTGTGATATATTATTAGAGTTTTTTTTTGCTATAGGTATATGTATTAAGTTATTATTAATGTTGGTAAATTTATTTAAATATTTGTGTTTGCTCAAAGAAAAAATATTTAAGGTGCGCAATCGTGTTGTTTTTTTCTCAAATATAAAAAGGTAAAAAGTCCGCAATCGTGTTATGCTTTTTTCAGGTAAAAAGTCCGCAATCGTGTTGCACCGACGATATCACTCCTTGTTCATACCTGGAAATTCAACCGAACGGTTTACACGGAAATAGTGTAGAAACCTAACTATAACCTAACCATAACCTCTTTCCAAACTTCGGAGTTCCATCAACGAATGACCTTCTGTTCACGCCAAATATGATTTTATAATTCCATAATAGTCATGTACTCATGTTCATCTGAGTATTACCACTGAGTACTCTTCTCAAGCCTCATGCCTTGTGTGTATATTTTTCCCTTATCTTCTTTCCCACATATGTCTATTGTAAAAATTATTAAATATTGTGTATTTCTTATAAAAAATATGAAAAAAATTAAAAAATTAATAATTCATTTTTCACTTTAAAATAATGATTATGTTAAAATTTGTTTTATTTGAATTTTTGTAATATTATTTAATAATTTGACAATTTGGTACCATTGCATCAATACTAAGTGATACGTTATCACTGATAACTTATCCATTATGTCTACATGCAACATTATTGTTTGAACAAATGAAATGTCAGGTATTAGAACATAATATTATAATGATGMAATGATCGTGCCTCTGTATTCATATAAGTTTAATCCTATAATTTACTTTTGTTTGAAGTTGAATAATAAATTATGTATAATTATAAACAATTACCTCGTCGAATCGTTCGGAAAAAATTATCCACAAAATAGTATTTTGGTACTGCTCGTTGGGTATGTGAAGAATATTTTTTATTAAATGCAAACAATCACTTATAAATGATATACTGCAATTGTTAGTAGATCCTACTGGACAGACAGACAACTGAAATAATAAAATGTACAATGATGATCAGTAAATACTAAATAAACGTGTATAGAACACAATACCAAAATTCCAATAATATTATGAATATCGAAAGAATCGAAGACTAATTGTTACCTATACAGTAACTATGWTATTATATCAGGGAATGGAATGTTGTGTACCCTTAATCACGATATTAAAATAAGGGCGATAACTTATGATCTATAAAATCATATATTCTTATATTGGGCAATGAAATATACATGATATAAATTTAAAGTTACTATAGTACATAATAATATTAATATTGCATGATGATCATTTGGCATATTTGTTGAAAAAAAAAAAAGTGGAAAACTATATCATGAAAAGTAATGAAATTGGACATTATTTACATTCACAAGCAAATTATTTCAATTTTAGACATAAATTATTCACACTAAAATTATTTTTAAATGTAATTTTATTGGACTTGAGATATGTTATTAATATGTTATCACTTATTAGATGTACAATCCGGTTATGTTACCGTACTAGGCAAGGTTTGTAGATAATAAAGGTCGCCTCATACAGAAAATATCAAAAAACGGGAGTGGGAGAAATCGGATTGTGACGTCACCCGTAGAAGACATTATTTGTTACAATAGTGAATATAGTAAAATATATTGTTTTCATGTGMGWTTTTATGAATTTTCTAATTTGTTTCATATGTTTATCRATTTCACATTTTTATGTGTAAGCATTATGCTAGCAAGACCAAAGAGCAAGGACTTGAAATGATAATTTCACAGGCACCTACTTAGTACTTTTACTGTAATTTTTGCCAATAGGGTATAATTATATMAAATTATCAAATATGTATGCTGAAGAAAATATAAGTAGTTTATTTTGATAACAACAAAACTTTTAAAGTTTTATAGTTAAAAGAAAACCATCAAATTWTAATAATTTWATAATTTTTGACATTAGTTAGTTACTTAAAATTAAAGAAGCATTTTGTATTAACAGATTATTATATTTAAAATATTATTGTAAGTACCGTACCTATTAAATTATTAACATGTAAAAATAAATTTTGAAATTAATTAATAATGTTTAACATTAATTGTGGGTACCTAAGTATAAAATGTTTCTACACAATGAAATAATGTAGGGATCTTTGATAATATTTTTAATATAAATTCAAAAATTATGAATTATGTATAGGTTCCCGATGAAAAATCAAGAGATCTATAATATGTGGGTACATAAATGCTGGCGAGGTGATAAGTGGAATCCTAAAACATCTGTGATTTGTTCTATACATTTTACCCCAGATTCWTTGTCCGAGATTTGAAAGCAGAACTTTTAGGTAATTATTTATTATTTAGTGTAATTTTTTATTGGTAGTTTTTGACTACTAATATATTTTATGTATTATAGATAGGTAGATAGATATGTTTAATAATAATTTATTTTTCAAAAATACTTCTAAAGTTCGAATGCTGAAACCTGATGCAGTTGCAATMTTATATTTACCACCGGATCATTCACAACGTGTAAATACTACTATTGAAATAAGAGAATAGAAGCTAAATTAACGAAAAAGGTGGAATGCTTTGTTTACGTGACTGTGCGGCAACCTTTATTATCTATAAACCTTGCGTACTAGGTGCATTTTATATTGTTAATAACTTGAAAACGACGTGTATAAATAAACTAGACTATATACCAATAGACTATTATATATTATATAGTATATTATTCTTATTTATAATATTATCATTATTATTATTTTTTAWCTTATTTATAGACTTATAAATAAGAAAAGTAGTAAAAATCACAAATAATGAAAAAAAATTTACTTTTAATCACGATTATAACTTTTAACAATTTAATTTATCATTATTTAAATAATTAGGTA